GAACTGTATGAAAGGGTCACGGCATTAGGAAGGTTGAGAACCCCTATCTTAAAAGAAGCAGACCCTCAGAGCTCACATATACCAACGGTGGTGCTAGGGCTGAGTGTCCAAGTGAATCCTAGGGACGGCCACTCTCATCCAGTCAAACCACCCAGCGGAGGTTTGTGGATCCCAAGTCCTGTTGTTGAATGCCGGCTCCCAAGTGTGGACTCAGACCCACCTGCTTCTCTTCCCATCGCCAGAGCCGAATCTGGCCAGGGTAAACCATCTGTTCAACCAATGTGTTAGTGAGAAAGCGGATTCGGGGCTGCAGGTGGCAGAGCAGGCCACCTTCCGGCTATCTGTGGTACTGTGCTTGGGATGCTGAATGACGCCTCTCAGGATGCTGTGCCCTTACCATCGCATCTTGTGTCTTATCCTTGTGCGCATGCGGCTCCTGACTTCGCTTTGCCTCCACGCTGCTGTGTGCTTCCCGGGCTCGTCTCCCACTGCTGCACCCGGGCCCAGTGCGCGGACTGCTGGAATGCTGACTCAGCGCAGCACTCTGCGCTCAACCCTCCACAGTTTGTTTCTTTAATACGCAATACATCTTTTATTTTGAAACCAGCAAAACAGTTGTGTATGTGTGTGCACAAACATATAAACACACTGAAAGTTTTCATTTTAACAATTACATTCCTGGAGAAAAGTTGCAGGAATATACAAAGAATTCCTATCTACTTTTACACTCAGATTTCTCAAATGTTACTATTTTAACATATTTTTTTATCATAATTTCTCTACACACACACACACACTTTTTCCCCTGATCAATATGAAAGTCAGTTGCAAACATGTTGCCCAGTTATTTATGCTTGACAAAAACAAGCATATTATCATAAACTACAGTATAAAATTACCATAATACAGTACTATAAAAAATACGGGTTTGGGTTTTTTGGGGTCTTTTTTGGCTCCCAGCTCTTGCCAGTTGTCCTGATAATGTCCTTTTTAGGAAAACCAAAACCCCAAATCAGAATTCACATTGAATTGTCATGTATCTTGAGCCTGTGGCCATCCAGTGTATTCCTACGCCAAGCAACCCTCTGTGGGGTTTCCAGTCTGTCAATGTCTCCCTCAGTGCCCCGATTGGGGTTGAAGTGCTGATCTTGGCAGTCAGTGGTCAGACGCTTTTCCGATTCACACCACCAGGAATGCTGCCTCGATTTGGTGTTGATGGTCTTCCCTTGTCTGTAGAGCATTTTACCACACCAAACTGTTTTTGTTTTAAAGTAATAACTGTTTATTGAGGTAAAATCCACTTAGCATACAATTTATACATTAAAGGTCTGTAATTGAATCGTTTTCGATATGTTTACAGAGTTGTATATCACCACCACAATTGGTTTTAGAACCATTCCATTTCTCCCCAAACAAAGCTAATGCCCATCGGAACTCACTCCCATTTGTTGCACAATTGTATCTTAGGTAATCACTAGTCTACTTTCTGTTTGTCTAGACTTTTTCATTCTGGACATCTGATATAGACGCAGTTATGCTGTGGCCTTTTGTGTCTGGCTTCTTTCACTCAGCATCATGTTCTTAAGGTTCATCTAGGTTAGAGCATACAACAGCACTTTGTTTTTAATGGCTGAATAATATTCCATTTTTCATTCTAATAATATTCCAATATTCATTTTGTTTTTCTATACATCAGTTGGTGGCACTTGGGTTGTTTCTACCCTTTTCCTGTTATGAATAATGCTGTGCTGAACATACGTGTACAAGTTATTCCATAGACATGTGATTTTCTGTTGCTTGGGTTTATACCTAGGAGTGGGAATTGCTGTGTAATATGGTAATTCTATGTTAACTGTTAGAGGGTCTCCTGGACTACTGTCCAAAGCATCTGTATCATTTTACAATACCTTACTCCCTGCAGTGAATGAGGGTCCCAGTTTCTCCACAACCTTACTGACACTTGTTATTATTGGGGCTCTTGATGGTATTTACCTGAGTGAGTGTGAAGTCGTGTCTCACTGTGGTTTTGATTCATTTCTTCTAGGTGGCTAGTGATGTTGAGCATGGTTTATATGCTTATCGACCATTTGTATATCTTCTTTGGAAAATGTCCATTCTCCTTTGGCCATTTTTAATTAGGCCATGTCTTTACTACTAAGTTGTAGCAGCTTATTACATGGTCTAGATTCAGTTCCCTTATCAAATATTTAACTTATAAAAGCCTCTCTTTTGGTATACTCTTTTTTCCTTTCTTGATGGTGTTCTTTGAATCACAAAAGTTATTAATTTTTATGATGTTCAATTTATTTATTTGCTCAACCTATTCTTAAGCAGCATCTTATCCACAATGCCATGCCCTTCTAGTCAGTGTTCCTCAAACTGTGTGATAACTGCCCCTGGAGGGAGCTAGAACTGTGGAGCAAGAGACTGCAAAAGCAGATACCTACACTTTATCCGGGATTGTGGGTTGTTACAAATGTTTTTAATTTTCAGAGGGGCGCTAAGTAATTTTTTTTTCCCTGAAAAGGAGGCAGCAGGCAAATAAGTTTGGGACCTATGTGTAGTCTGTCCTTTGCTTTAGAAACAAAACCTTCAGTCCTGTTTTTCTGCCTTTGAAACCATCCTGATGTATATCCGATGTTCAATTAATGAGGGATGATGGAATGGAGAAACCTTTGCTCAGTGAATCCATCGCTTTGCCTCCTCCATTAGAAATGCCGGGCTCGGAGAAAAGCGACAGCTATTCAGGGGCCACTTTTATCATTCATGGCACAGCAATTTCCCTACCACTGGCCATCACGCTCTCTCTCAGTCTTTGTCACGGGTATCTTAAACCTTGTGCTCCACTCTCGTTTCAAATTCTGCCTTTTCCCATGTACAGAGGACATTGCTCCCTGATTCACGGACAGTGTTGTGGCTACCAGATGGGCGTTTGCTTAGCCCTCTGCCTGACTGACAAGAGCACTAGCCTTTCTCCCCATGCTTTTCTCTGTGGAAGGAAAAGACCTTACCTGCCTCCCTCCCTGCCTTGCTTCTGTACCTGTTTTATGGTATTTTATTGTGTCAGTCCAGGTAGACTAGAGAAACAAATTCATGGACACACTCATGTGTATAAGAAAGAGGTTTATATGTAAGAGCAAGTAAATATTGAGAAAACATCCCAGCCCAGTCCAGATCAAGTCCATATCTGATACCAATCTATAAAGCCCTCTTCTGACTCACAAAACACATGCAATGACACTGGAATGCAGGATGATCACTGGCCAGTGAGTGGAAAGTCTTGTGGATCCAGTGGCGTTGTAAGCATCTCAGTGCTGACATGGGTCTCCACGTGGCTTCTCCAGCACCCAGGGTTCCATCAGGGTAGACCCATGTGGCTTCTCCTCAGGGATGTCTTGCAGGAAGTGAGCACTCTGGTTGTACTTCTTCCAAGACAGATTTGTTTGTCCTTTTGGCAGTCCATGGTACTTTCGATATCCTTTGCCAGCACCATAATTCAAGTACATCTATTCTTGTTCAGTCTTTCCTATTCAGTGGCCAACTGTCACAAACATATTGGGCAATTGTAAATACTATGACTTGGGTCAGGTGCTCTTTAGTCTTCAAAGTAGCATCCTGGCTCTTCAATACTTTCGAGAGGTCACGTGCAGCCGATGCCAGGTGCCCTTTAATCTCTTGACTGCTGCTTCCATGAACAATGATTGTGGATGATCCAAGCAAGACAAAACCCTTGACTACTTCAATCTCTTCTCTCTTTATCATAAAGCTCCCTGTTGCTCCGGTTGTTAGGATATTGGTATTTTTTCATTGAATTGACTAGAAAATGCCCTGGAATTTGCCTCTTAGGACTGATTGCATCTTAGCAATGGGAACAGAGGAAGGAGGATGTTGTAGGGTACCTGAACTTTTTTTTTTCTATATTTTTATTTTGTTTGAAAATTTTCAGTGAGCCTGTATTCTTTCTCTAGTTATCCAATAATGCTTTCAGACTTCCCAGAGAAGTAATATTCTTTTGACCTATCCCCTGACTTCTCTCTCACCAGCTTCTCGGACAATCCTCTTTGCTTTCTGAGTTTTACTTCCAGACTCTAGTCACTCGTATCAGTCCGCTTAGTGGGCTCCTCGTAGTCATTCATTCGTATCCCCGAGAGCCACCTTTGGTTCCTTGGGAAGTATTTCCAGACCTTTCTATCTGATTTTATTACCTTTTCTCTGTGTTTCTAGATTTGGCACTGTGAGAAATCTTCCTTCATCACTGGTCTCCAGGGCAGGAGCTGTGTTATTTGATTTTGTACCCCATGGAACTAAGCATAGTACTCAGCACATGGTAGAAATTCATTAAAACAGATCCGAATACTAAAATAGAACATAGAATTGGGGGTAGATTTCCTTAATACCAGCGTGTCCTTTTGTGTTGGTTGTTATTTTAATCTGTTTTTTCCCCTTGATGTTTTCTTTTTCCTTGTTTCAATTAAACTCAAGTTTATATCTTGTGTTTATGTTGATAGGCTACCTAGTACAGAAGCAGGCAATCTCTTTACATGCAATTTGACTTCTTCAATTATCATTGAAAGAAAGAAGAATGATAATTTCCTTCTTAATTGTAACACAAAGAGTGAATGTAAGCTTTTTAATTTAGAATGCCTAAATACATTAATTTTTGACAACCTTCATTCATACACTTTAAATAAATACATACATAAATAAGTAAGCCCACTGACAAGCACTTGATTGTGGCTCATAGAGACCCCGTTGGAGAGTAGAGCTGCACAATAGGGTTTCCAGGACTGTAAATCTTTATGGGAGCAGATGCCCACATAGATCCCCAGGGAGTGCCTGGTCGATGCCAACCGCCAACAGTTGGTTAGCAGAGAGTGCTTTAACCATTGTGCCACCACGGCCCCTCCTAAAAAACGTATACCATTGAATCAAGTATAATAATTAGCAAATGGATTTTTCTTCTCTGTTTTCATTGTTTAATAGTTTATTTCCTATTTTAGGTTCAACAGATAGATCGTGTGGTAGAAGTTGTCGAGGAAACCATTAAAGGTAATTATTGCAAAGGAGATAAGCAAGTGCTTGTATTTCTCTGAAACTTCAGAGAAACATGATGAAGCGGAAGATGTTTTTTTGCCAACTGTGCAATCTGAAATTGATCAGACAGGCTACCAAATGCATTGCTACCTCTTGGTGATTGGAAACAAAGTGGTTGGAAAACATCTCACGATACTTGCCTTTTTACCATCTTAAAGTGTACAATCTGGAAAGATGAATGAGGGCCACCCGGTGCAATTACTGCTGCTGTTCATTTCATGAAAATCACCGGAAGCACCACCCACCCTATCGTTCCCTGCTGCTACCGGTCCTCGGCGGTACTGATAAACTTCTGTCTGCGTGCAATTGCCTACCCTATATGTTTCATAGTTTAATCTGCTGTATGCCATCATTTATTTCCTTCATCACTCATTTGCTGACGAATACTTGGGTTGTTTCTATTGTCTGGTTATTATAAATGATTTTACAATAAAAAATAAGTATACTTGTCATAGTTGTTTTAAAATTTTTTGTTGTTTAAAATGGATTTTATTGGAATCTCAGATTAGGAAATCAAAATTTCATCAATTTTAGGAAGTATCTTAATTTTCCCATTTTCAGATAAAGTGACTAGTTGCAATTTCAAAGAAAGAATTTTTTAAGGCTGTACTCAATTTTAAAACTATTTCCAGGTGCATTTTTATAGTTCCTTAGGAAAGTGAATTATATTTTGGTTATTCTGATAGTCATTCCTCTATGACACCTGTTTTTACTGACGTTGCTGAGAAAGAGCCTATCTGGGTTATTGTGGTTGACTTTTAAAAGTTGGTGGGGTTTTGTTTGTTTGTTTGTTTGTTTGTAGTGGGTTATTGTTTGAACTGTTAACTGCAAAATTGTTAGTTTGAACCAACAGCCACTCCATGGGAGCGGATGAGGCTGTTGGTTTCCCATGAAGATGTACAGCCTTGGAAACCAGCAGAGGCAGTTCTGCTCCGCCCATAGGGTCGCTGTGAGTCAGAACTGACTTGATGGCAGTGAGTTTGTTATGATTTGAGTTCCTTATGCTAGAAGAAAATCAGTAATGTGATGTTGAAATGTTAAATGTAACAAACTGAGGTTCTTGCATGAAATGGGAACTTTGTTATGCAGTAGAAAACACGACAAATAGACCAGTGCCAATGATGTTTTGAACTCCGGTTTTCTGCCCCCCTGTAGGGCTGCGTACTTTTGCGCATTCTTCTGCCCTGCTCTATGGAGTTGCTGCGAGCTGCTCTTGACTCGATGGAACTGAGTTTTGGTTTGGAGACGTAGAAGGGCTTGATGGTCACAGATACTTCTCTGTCATTCTTAAGTCCTTTCCAACATCCATTTGAAGGTCCGATTGGCTGTTTCTAAGCAGTCCGTCTACCATCCATCAACATAGACTTAGCAGTGGACATTAAAAGGTGCACGGAAAAATGGAATGAAAGGATGATGAGTATTTTCGCAAACTTCTTGAAGCCCTGTCATATACGCATTCATACACATGTAGAAACATCTAGCCACACATACATTTTCCATTAGTGCCTGACATATACCCTCTCCCCTAATTGTTTTATTTTATTTTCCTTGAATACTCAACTGGAAGGCAAGGAGTCTCATGAATGTAATCTGTACAGGTCAGCCTCCAAGGGTATCAGTCAGGGGTGGGCAAACGTTTGAGAAGGAAGAGCCAATCCTGTTCCTCACTACTATTGTATTTACTCGAGTGTAAGTGCACCCAAATATCAGCCGAGGCACCTACTTTTACCACAAAAACGGCATTAAAAATGTGCTGGAAAACGTGGCTGAAACATGAGTATATACAGTATTGAAATTTTATTTTTGAAAGCAATAAATATATTTTTGCAAACAAATGAAATCACGTTTATCAGAATAATATCTCAAATTTTTAAAATTTTACTTCAAAGTCACACATACTTCGGAGTCATGTGAATGTATGTACTTCATAGTCACCTGTATGTACATCCGAGCCTCATGTATGTACTGCAGAGACACATGTACATACTTCATAATCACATGTACGTACTTCAGAGCCTTGTGTATGGAAGTTAGAGACACATGTACCTACTTCAGAGACATGTGCGTATTTCAGAGCCACGTGTACGTACATCAGAGACACATGCATGTACTTCACAGTCACATGTATGTACTTCAGAGCCTCTTGTATGTACTTCAGAGACACATGTATGTACTTCAGAGACATATGTACGTACTTCACAGTCACATGTATGCAATCAGAGCCACATGTACGTACTTCAGAGCCACGTGTATGTATATCAGAGACACGTATGTACTTCATAGTCACATGTATGTACTTCAGAGACACATGTTCGTACTTCATAGTCACATGTACATACATCAGAGCCTCTTGTATGTACTTCAGAGACATGTACGTACTTCAGAGGCATATGTCTGTACTTCAGAGACACATGTACGTAATCATAGTCACATGTATGTACATCAGAGCCTCATGAACGTACTTCAGAGACACATGTACGTACTTCAGATACACACGTATGTACTTCAGAGCCACATGTATATACTTCAGAGCGACATGTATATACTTCAGAGCGACATATACATATATCTGAGCCTCGTGTATGTACTTCAGAGCCACATGAATGTACTTCAGAGTCACATGTACATACATCAGAGCCTCGTGTGTACTTCAAAGACACATGTGTATACTTCAGAGACACATATACGTACATCAAAGCCTCATCTATGTACTTCGAGGCATATGTTCGTACTTTAGTCCCATGTACGTACTTCAGAGCCACACATATGTACATCAGATCCTCGTTTATGTACTTCAGAGTCACATGTACCTACATCAGAGCCTCATGTATGTACTTCAGAGTCACATGTACGTACTTCAGAGATACATATATGTACACCAGAGCCTCGTGCATGTACTTCAGAGCCACATGTACGTATATCAGAGCCTCATTTATGTACTTCAGAGACACATGTATGTATTTCAGGGACATGTTCGTGCTTTAGTTACATACATGTACTTCAGAGTCACATGTAAGTACTTCAGAGCCACACAAACGTACATCAGACCCTCATGTATGTACTTTAGAGTCACATGTACGTACTTTAGTCACATGCACATACTTTAGAGTCCCATGTACATACTTCAGAGCCACACAAACGTACACCAGAGTCCCATGTACGTACTTCAGAGACACACAAACGTACATCAGAGTCCCATGTACGTACTTCAGAGACACATATACGTACACCAGAGCCTCATGTATGTACTTCAGAGTCACATGTACGTACATCAGAGCCTTATCTATGTACTTCAGAGCCACATGTACGTACACCAGACCCTCGTGTATGTACTTCAGAGCCGTGTGTACGTACTTTAGTCACATGCATGTACCTCAGAGTCTCATGTGCGTACTTCAGAGCCTCATGCATGTACTTTAGAGCCTCATATATGTACATCAGAGCCACATAAATGTACATCAGAGCCTCATGTATGTACTTCAGAGACATGTGTTCGTACTTCAGAGACACCTGTACGTACTTCAGAACCTCATATATGTACATCAG